ATTTCCAGCTTACTCACAGGCTTTGGTTTTAATTCTAAATTCATCAGTTATACCAGTGAAGAATCAGAATGGAATATTACATTATTTTAGAAAGAACAACTTTAGGATCAACATTTGCTGTTCACTTAAGCTCCTGTGCAGTTGACCTTACCTGTCAAGTGGATGAAGAGGTGCCTGAGGTGTCTGAATCTTGGGGGCCCCATGTATCCCTAGTGGATTAATCCCCTGACCTTCCCAGCTCCACCTGCAGTCAGTGGTGGGGCCCAGGCGGAGGAGGTGGTTGCAGCCTTGCCTTCCGAGGATGTATCTCTCGCTGGTGCTCTCCTCCTGTGTTCTGAATGACCATCTTTGCCCCACCAGGCCCTTCCGCCATGAGGATTCTGCCTTAAGAACCAGAGGACTATAGAATAAAACCTCTGAAACTGTGAGCCCAGTGAACTAGTTCCCACTTTAAATTGTCTGTGTTAGGCACTTATTCCCCCCTCAGCAATTGGAAAGCTAATACTGTTGTAATTTATAATAAAAGCATAGTCAGAGCCATCATTTTCTCAGTCATCCTTTACCACGAGGAATTCTGTTTGATTAAAAATAAATTAAAAAATAAATTGAAGCAAAACAACTTCCATTTTATTTTCATATTTCAAAAACCTTCTATGACACTAGAAAAATAGGTGCATTTCAGTCTTTCACAAAAAGCTCATCAAAACATCAGAAAGAAGCTGAGTGTGGTGGAGCAGGGCCTGTAATCCCAGCACTCAGCAAGGCTGAGACAGGAGAATCCCAAATTCAAGAGCAATTTAGCAATTTAGTGAGATATGGCCTCCAAATAAAATAATAATAACAACAATAATAATAAAATTAAATAGGGCTAGGGAATATAACTTAGTTGGAAAGACTTACGTTCAATCCCTAGACCTTTAAAGGATTTGGGGTAGAATTTAAATTTACCATTAAAAAATAGATGGTGCAGTAGCTGATTTTTGAAGAGCTAGCTGCGTACACAGCCATCTGAAGGTATGCATTTTAACCCAGAATTTCAAACACTTCTTCTATAGTGACGTAAAGTCATAAATCCTAACATAGTACTAGCAGCCTTACACCTCAGAGGTGTACAAAACATTGTAGGACCAGCTTTTTGATTGAATGAGATTATTTAAAAATATCACATCTGACTGGTCTAATTTTATCCATTGGTCATTAAAAAAATAAAACCTGCTATGAACTACATGCGCTTATTAGTTTATTCAAGGAAATGTAGGTCAAAAGAAGCACTCCTCTTCGCAGTTCGTTATTCCAGTTGTCAATCCTTCACTTCACGGTGAAAGCAGGGAGCGACGAAAAGCCTTTTGCCGTCTTCTTTGCTGATCATTTTCTAAAATCAATAGACAATCTCTCTGCTTCAGATTAAAGAATAAAGCTAGACTTTAAGATTTTATTTCTACAAAATCTAAGATAGGCACATAAAAATGCACACGATATGGACCGGGAGACCAGAGGGGAAGGAGGAATGGTATGGAGGCCACTCAGGAGCCAATGAAAACTGAAACTCCTTAAAGGAGCATGGCATGGGCTCTAGAAAGCTCTTACCATTGGCTTTTCAGCTTTATTACGAAGATTTGAGAAAAACAAAAACTTGAAAACCTCACCAAAGAGGAGTTGATGAAGCAGACAAATTCCTAGAAAGAGAATCTCTACTATCCAACAAGTAGATACAAGTAAT